AAAAAATTGAAATAAAAGACTATGGCACCAATCAGAATACGGCGCGCCCGGTCGGCAAGCAACTTTTAGATAAGACAACCCGAGTCTGGCATAGTATGTTTAATATTTCCGTCGTATTGCTGTGCTACAATGGCTTTTATCACGATGTAAGGAGTTTGAAACGGGTTTAGTCGGTGCAAGAGATAGTTGGGGAGGTTGCATCTCCGAGGCGCACTGAAATTTGGATCAATCAAGTGTTTACATCATTCTGATAGTTCAAAACCCAATTTTTCTTTCTATACATAGGAATGAAAAGAAAATTGGGAAATCACTTGATATGCGCAAATTTATTTCTTTTTGATAGAATGTGGCAAACGTCTGCTGCGGCAGACTCTTTCGTGTTCAAAGAATCTCGTACATGAAGTAAATTTTTGGGGTATTTTAGTGCTTCAGAGAGATTGGCGATAAAGAATCAGCCACATAAAAAATTTAAAATTATTTCACGCATTTATCAATATTATTACTTCTGAATATCCTTATGAATAAATTCCGTGGTCGGAGCGGATATCTTGTAGTATCCATGCTTTGCTAAAGGAAGAATAATCTCCACAAAGTTTAATAATTTTATAACAATTTTTCCAGAGTTAACTTTGGGAAAAAAGTTCCCATCCTCAAGTGGATCGCTAGCAAAATGGAGAATGAAACAAACGTATTTAAACACAAAACGGGGGGTTAACTCTGGAAAATTGGTATAAAAATTATTAAAACCTTTGTGGAGATATTTCCTTCACAATAACCAATCCTTATTAATATTACTCCGTAGATTATATACGTCTATGCAGAAAGTAAAAATAACATGTTCTGCCAACCTAACTCCAAATTAGTTTTGATTAGACTTATCAAACAGAGCCTACTTATACTGATGAGGGAACTTTTAAACAGTACATTTGATTCTTTGAAGTAAAATTTCGAAACGCCATGTGCAGGAGGAGGGCAAAAAAGTTTAAAACACGGCCCAACTACATCCACCAAAGGCCAATTGCAGGCCGCTGTAACATCAGGCCAAAGAAGGGTTTAAAGTGAAGAAGAAGCAGGGTTAAGCTGACTGGATTGTATTAATCCCAACCACACAAACACATACTCCGCTGAGATTGGCAAGAAGTTATTTAATCTGGACAACCATGCACGGAAAAATGAATGTGTGTACAATAAGTAAATGAGTACACTTAAAAACTCAGCATCTAAATACTACATACTACATTACGTTTAAATTTCATGTGTAATCTGTTTTATGAACGATAATACAGGCCAACAGCACCACACAAAAGTAATCAGACTTCACAGACTTGAAAAACCACATTTTTCAATGTATTTGACGTGCATGATTCCAATCTGAAGCATAATTGCTCATTCATTTTCCTGTTTCTTAAAATCCCCAAAAACCATCGAAACCATTGTACTTTTTTTTTCGCGGTTGTTGTCAGCCAAAGATCTTGTCAATACACTATGTATGACGACGCGCTTATTTGGAAACTAAATCCAGAGTTGCGCCACCACCTTCATTGTTTTAACGCAAAAAAAAAAAAACACCGTGAAATTGTGGATTGTAAATTTGTGGATTGTTTTTTGCGATTTGGTGGTTGGCAATGGATTGTTGCTGACATAACTTCTGGCTTCAGATTCCGATTCAGCGCCAACGCATAAGATAAAACACGCTTCCAAGTCCTCGGGCTGACAACAACCCGAAAACAACAAAATTATTTTTTATGATGGTTTTTTTTGCCCCTTAAAAATACTGAGGGTGATGGCGCAATTCTGGTTTCAGATTCGGAGTCTGACCGCATTGAATACATAGAGAATCCCGTGTGCCAAGTCTTGGAGGATACCACCAACTTTTTGTGTTCTGTGTAATTTTCATTACACTTTTGTAATTTAGAGAGGAATTCACCTATTGTATCCACGAACATAATTTTTATAGATATTGAAACGAAGAACGTTTTCTTTTTGATAGTAATATTCAAAATTGATACTAATTCTAATTAAAAGAAGCACTAATCGATCAGCGTAGTAAACGCCGCCGCCGCCGCCGCCGCTGCCACAAACGGTCAAATCGGGGGTAGACGGGCCGAGGCGGATGACGGTTGGGCCAGTATCGGCAGAGAGGCAGCGAAGCGCAAACACGGACGGACTGTGCTGCCTCAAGCAAGTTCTTATAGTGGATATTACCAACAGTGGGAATTGATTGTAGCCATTTAAGTGGGAGATTGGAGGTGGGATAAAAAATTGATAATCAGGTGATTAGGAGCAAGGGGAAGTGCCACCAGACGGGATCAGTGAAAACATTTAATTACTGGAGTTTGAGTTGGCCGGACAGACACGTTTTTCATTTCCGCCCGGGTTTGATGATGCAGGCAGCGGGCCGCACCGTCGCTACTTTGAGTGGGATGAGAAAGAACTGCTGAGATCGGAACTGCCGACCGGAGCGCAATTGCGCGTGTGATGTTATAGTATATGGTGATATTGTTTGTACTGGCTGGGGGGGGTGGACCCCCGGCGAGCGTCGTTGGCCATTGCATCGGGGGGGGGGCAGCGGCAGTCGACCGCGAGGGGAGAGCGATTTCCCCGACAAACTTCGGGGGCGGACCGAAGTTTGCCGAACACGCCCCGCCGCCGGTTGCCACTGCGGCCCCGCTCGCCTCCAGCAGCCGGTGGTCACGGAAGCCTCAATCGGTAGCGTTACTGTGTGCTTACACAATCACTACAAGGCCTGCGCACTGCGTATTGTAAAAGAATTTTTGTACATAGTGTTTCAATCATTAAACTTTTAATTGCACAAAAAGTTTCTTTCGACCATTCTTCCAATGCAGCGTCAAACCCCCTGGAAACCCATTCACGAGAATGTACCCGTCCTTTATATCATTGTATTTGTCGTGAGAGTACAGTTTCCAGGTACGTCACAATATATAACTCTTTACAAATAAGTTTTACATTAATTCTCCCAATTTTCTGCAAAGTATTCTATACACAGGTGTTTGTGAAATTGCGACACCCAGAAGCAATAGTCGGAATAATTTAAAATTCGGTGGATGGGTAGAACAGTAGGAGAAGTGATTACATTTGTGTTGAAATGGGGTTCTCTATGACCTAACAGCGCCCTCCTTTGTGTGACAGATCAGGTTAGTGTTAAGGCACACTCAGTCAGTGTAGAGCCGTCAAACTTCGTGGAAACGTACAAGCAAGTGTCGGTTGTCTCGTCGACGCCAAAAGGGCGCAAAATCAGAACCTAAGTCAGTTCGAACGGATCGGAATGATCGGTCTCTGGGAAGCGGGTTTGTCGTACCGTGACATTGCAGCTCGAACGGACCGTGCTGCTACGACAGTGATGCGTGTGGGGAACGAGCGAATCAAGGAGGATCGTACACAGTGACGAACTTGTACTGGACTACACAATGTAACCTTAGGGTCCCTTCCCACGGCGCGACCGCGGCGCGCTTTGCAGCAGCGCGGGGCGTAGCAGAGCATTGGTTTGAATGGAGGCCTTCCCACGTGCAGCGGGTGGCTAGTGCTGCGGCAGCCGACGCCGAACTCCAGCTACGCGAAGCGGAGGAGGGCATACGAGCCACCGACCGGCTAGCAGTACACAGCTTTAAATGGGAGCCTTCCCACTGCGCCACGGCCGCAGCGTGGTCGTGCCGTACCTGCTCCGGTCCCTTTGTTCGTCGTCGCCGGAGGGTCGGCGAAACCTACCCCTCCAGACCCCACCCCCTTCCACGGCGGGCGGCGGTGCGGCCGTGGCTCCGGCCGTGGCTCCGGCGGTGGCTGCGTCGGAAGGGCTCTGCTGCTTGAAGGAAGCGCGACGCGGTCGCGCCGTGGTTAGGCGCCCTTAGGGCGAGATGTCCGCCATCTTAATCGCATGGCCGTAACCGACAGAACGCCATCGTTCACAGAGTTGACTCGAAGTTGGAACACTGCAACGGGTGTGGTTGTTTCTGTGACGACGGTTTGACGTCGTCTGCGGAGGGCTGCACTGGTGGCATGCATACCACTGAACCGCATTCCGTCGACTAGAAACCACCGCCACAGACAGACAGAAATGTGCATGTGAACGTGTTTACTAGTGCGTTGAGAGGCAAAATGTAGTGTTTTTAGACGAGTCCCGCTTCAATTTATGCTACAGAGATGGCCGCGTGGGTGTTCGACGCTATCGTGGTGATCGCAATCAGGCAGCCTGCATTGTTCCGAGCCATTGCGGGCAAACGCCAAGTGTGAGGGTTTGGAGCGCCATTGGCTACAATATGCGATCTCGCCGTATACGTATTTAGGCCAATCTAAACAGCAACAGATAGATCAGGGAAGTTACAGTAACCGAGGTACTGCACCTCCTGCAAGCAGCTCTACCTGCCATATTTCAGCAGGATAATGCTCAACCACATGTGGCCAGGAATGTGTAAGCTTTCTACGAAGAACAAGGGATGCTTTGCTGACCTGTACGATCGCCTGACATGTCGCCCCCGAACATGTTTGGGATATGATCGGTCGGCAACTTTTTTCGCTCTGGTCCTCCTTCAGCCATAGTCGACGCTTTGTGGTCACACATATAAACCGCGTGGCAGTGTGTTCCTCAGGATCATGTCTTTGAATCCATGCTACGACGTGTAGTGGCTCTAATGACAGCGTATGGCGGCTTTACACCGTACTACGTCAAAATACATATACAGTTCTGTAATTCTATTCATTTGTATATTGTAATATTCCTAATCTGTAGAATAAATCTCAACGTAATAGTATGTCTCCTTGGTGTTACAATTTTCACTAACATCAGTGAGTATTCTTATTTACCTAATCTTCAGAAAAAGAAGTATATATCATAAAAGAAAAGGAAACACACAATTGCTTGTCAAACTTCTTTCCCCAATTTTCGTATGATCATAACACTTTGAAGATCAATAGCTCAGAATTAGTGTCATTGGAGTTGTGTTACTATAAATATCACATTTTATCATATAGGCGTGTGTTTACCGCTATGCACTACACACCTTGGGTAATGGACACTTTGAAGGCACACCACTTGCGTTGGCGATTATTGCCATTAAATCCGGTGCTGTTTTCATTCCATCTTCGCATACGTCATTCCTGATTTCGTACGTGAACGTTTTGCGCCAGCCATTGAGCCATTGAAACACCACAACACTTCCCTGCAAGGAACACAACCAACCAAGGGTGAGTGAGTGATCAAATAAAGAAAGAAAAAAGAAAGAGAGAATTGGTGAAAAGATACGAGCGAGACAGGTTGAGAAGAGTGGACGAAAGACGAGCGTGCGAGGGAGAGATAAAGAGGTCGAGTGAGAGAGAGCGAGGTCGAGTGAGTGAGAGAGATCGAGGTGGAGTGAGTGAGAGAAAAGTATGGTGAGTGAGAGAAAGCTCAAGTGAGTGAGAGGTCGAGTGAGTGAGAGGTCGAGTGAGTGAGATAGTTGTCAAGTGAGCTAGAGCGAGGGGGAAGGAGGTCAAGTAAGCGAGAGAGAGAGAGAGAGAGAGAGAGAGAGAGAGAGAGAGAAAGCAGGAAAGAGGTCACGAGAGGAAGTGAGATATCGAGGGAGGGAGCGAGAGGTCGAGGGAGCGAGAGTTCGAGGAGCGATAGGTCGAGGGAGCGAGAAGGTCGAGGGGCGAGAGGTCGAGGGGAGCGCAAATGAGGTCGAGGGAGCTAGAGAGTTCGAGGGGAGCGGAGAGGTCGAGGGAGCGAGAGGTCGAGGGAGCGAGAGGGCGAGGAAGCGAGAGGTTGAGGGAGCGAGAGGTCGAGAAAGCAAGAGGTCGAGGAAGCGAGAGGTCGAGAAAGCAAGAGATCGAGGAAGCGAGAGGTCGAGGAAGCGAGAGATCGAGGAAGCGAGAGATCGAGGAAGCGAGAGGTCGAGGAAGCGAGAGGTCGAGGAAGCGAGAGGTCGAGGAAACGAGAGGTCGAGGAAGCGAGATGCCGAGGAAGCGAGATGCCGAGGGAGAGAAAGGTCGAGGGAGAGAGCAAGCTGTCGATGAGCGAGAGGTCGACGGACCGAGACACCGAGAAGAGCACCCCTGAGAGAACCAGAGAGAGAAAGACCCTGAGAGAGAAAGCAAACTGCATAGTGCAACAAGCAGTGGTTAGACGTGATGGAAAAGTTCGTGGTACCAGAACGCCTTCCCCCACAGAGTGCGGGGCATTCCAGAAGCCCGTGGCCACCCGGCCGGCGGCAGAGCCCTTCATCTTGAGGTCCAATGTTAACATATCGCTGGTGTCGCCCTCTACCGGACAGCACTCGAGCTTGTTTATGTAGATGGTTTCGTAGGGGCCCTGCAACGGAAACCGACACATTTTGTATTATAGAGTTCTTTCATACAATGGAGTTTAGTCATACCTCAATATTATTAGTAGTGCGCGGATTTTGATGACTTAAACATCGCCAGAATGATCAATCAAATGCACTTAAATTGTTTGTTTTAAATGCCTTAAAAGCGAAGAAAAATAACGTACGAAATTTTATCAAAATTCGTTCATATGAACAACACTAGCTGTTAGATTATGTTACTGAAGTAAAAGTGGATTCTTCCTTCCGTTCAAGTAACTCAGCTAGCAAAAGTTTGATTTGGACTGCTCCTTATCAGGAAATCTCTGTCTTTATCCCAAAATCGTCCGAATTGACAATGGCACTGATAGGAGTTCAGGGAACTTTAAACTGAAGACTCACAACGCAGACATTAGACTTTCTGAGAGAATAAATGAAACAGACTACTCAGGAACTTGTTGCATCTCGTAAAGAGTATTTGAAGCAAGTGCCATTAAAATTACATCACAAACTCATGAAATCAGCGAGAAATGCTTTAAAAATGTCGAAAAAGATAAAAATTGCGACTTATTAGTCGAAATCGACGAAAAATAAAGAAAAATGTCCTATAAAAATATGCCATTTCCTTTGGTCTTAACATAAAATGTATGTGTATACTAAAAGGCAATGTTCTAAAGTGAAAAGAAAAAATACATTTCATTAAAATCAGCTTCCTAATTTTGGGGGTAATTCCTTAGGACGCTGAACACATAAATTGTTATATCTCTATTTAGGTTTCAAATCGCACAGATAATTTTGATTTCATGTATGATTTTTTTATTGTGGCGTGTTTGAGAATCGAGAGGGATTCTTCACTGCGAATTTTTCCCAGAAGTGCGGATGGAATCATTAGAGTTCCCGCTAGGTCCTTTTGGCGCCGTTAGAAGGCAGCCGAAACATGGTGGGATAATGCCGAATCAGCCTTAACTAAAAAAGTGGACCTAACTAGTAGGAGAAAAATTTCCATTTTGTAGCACCACTAGTTTTGGTATGTCTGGCACGTTCATACGAATATTGAAATTACATAAGTATTTTTCAATTACTTTCAATTGTGTACCCAATTGCCCTTCAAAGGAGTACTGGTGTGATTCGTGGAAATAACATTTTAAAGTGAAAATAAGCTGAAAATCGGGCATATTCATTAAAGCTCAGACATTTTCTTAAAATTGTTTGCTATTGTTTCCCTAAAATTTCAAAATAAAAATGTGTGTTTATGGTGGCAATTTGAAGCAGTGATGCCGCAGAAGGGCACAAACTCCCTTGTACTAGTTAGTTTCCTGCTTAGTCTTGGCTAGCTTACTGGCTTTGTCCCATCCACACCCCCAACTGCTACCTATCCGCGCCTGAATTAATTTTTTTCATATTTTCTCAATTTGTCGGATCTCTAATAGAAGAATTGAAATACAGCTTTAAGAATATTATTGAATAGTAATATCTGATCCTATATTGTAACCTTACCCTGTGTGCACGACCGTTCTTACTGGACCCGGTCAGAGGTCACTCGCTTCGAGCAATTTACAAAGCACAGCCCTTACCAGAGCTGGGAAACTCAGTGGTAGGAATAATAATAATAATAATAATAATAATAATAATAATAATAATAATAATAATAATAATAATAATGAATTCCACACTGGTATCTGATTATTTCGATCAACAGGCTTCAAACAAAGACCATCAGGCAAATGACAGATGAAGCAAAATAACAAGATACGATAATAGCTTTTTTTGTATTCCAACATTATGAAATAACCTTTTCTGTTGCAAGAAATCGTTCATAATCGGGTACTTTACGATACAAATGAGGACGTATTAGATTTCATGTCACGAATGATTGCGTCATCACACATTCAGCCAATCGTAACGAGAGAATCGTGGGGAGGTAGAGCTAAACGGAACTTCCGACCACCGTTTACTCGCACGATGTCAAATACACAAGTCGTCACAGGGAAGTTGTTTCGCAAAATTAAATTTGATTCTCTTATAAATGTATAATGCTGTTATACAAAAAAAAATGTAGTATGCAACTCGTTTACAATATTGCTTTATTACATTCGTACAAATTTGAAAACTCGCTCCTATGGTCGCTCGTTTTCAAAACATGTACTCATGCAATAAAGCTTAACATTATAAACTAATTTCATAAACTGCTATTAATCCTTTCACTCGTTTCTTGAAACATATCGCACAAACCAACCAAAACAAAGAAATTCAAAACTTCAACAATCTCTTTAAACAATCAATCCTTACTTCTTGATGTGACTTCATACAATTACAATTCAGATAAATAAAAAAATAACTGGAAAAGAATCACAAATAACCTTATTTTTCCTGCATCTGAAAAAGCTACTTTTTCCCTTCTGATATTATTATATTTAACATAGTACAATAAAAATCAAATTTTTCCAACTTTTCTCTTTACTTTGGTTCAACCTTTCCTGATTTCCACAAATTCTTACTCTTCCGATTTAAATCCCTTATATGTAAGATATATCCCTTTTTTAGTACCCAAATTAGCATATGAAACCTCAAATCTTTTATCTAATATTAGTTCTCAAATATTAAAATTTACATTTAATCATTTTCACCAGTCTCATTTTCTCCTTTCACTCATTGAAAATCCAAAATAGGCAATTCTCCTCTTTCACAATAATAAACTGTCCATTTATACCCATTTCCCCATCCCTACTATTTCTCATATTATGAAATTCTCTTACAATAATAAATTTTTCTTTCAAACCAATTCAGTTTAGAATGTATCTTGAATACATCACTCACAGACTTTGTTGTCATCACACGAAATAAAACATTCTAGTTTTTCATTTAAATATCGAACGTTGCATGTTTTAGTTCTCAATGAATATTCTATTCACTCATATACATGACCTTATGTAGAGAAATGCTGAACATGGCAGATGACGCTATAGGAACGCGCCTCAGCACCGCACTTATCGTCACAATCATGTTCCAACTTACTGCACCACGTTCAGATGACATATTTTTCACCTTGCTCATACTCGTTTTTAGTTTACCCTAAACATACATATATACGGAGTAATATACATAGTATAGGGAAAGCTATGTAATGCTGCGCTAAAATAGATATCGAGATTTCAAAATATGGAAATACACGTTTTGGGGGTCCCCTGATACCAAAAAAGTGTTCTGTTTTTCAAAAACGACCGTCCGTCTGCCTGTCTCTCCGTCCGTCCGTCCGTCTGGTGTATGTGCACAACCCTAGCGCTAAACCATGCGTAGTATTTTTTCCAAATTGAAGAAACCTCTGTTAATTTGGCCTGATTCAAGGCACTGCGATTTTGAAAATCATTAGTTTTTAGGGGTACTTTACATGAAGCACCTGGGACAGTTTCAAAATTTTCTCAAAAATGGATCCACATTTTTTTCTTTAAACTTGTCGAAAGGATAGTGCCAATTGCATTCTTTAATATGATATTAAGTTCATATCTGAGTATTTTTTTTTCAAAAATTACACATATATATTTTTTTAAGTTCTTTAACGCCGGTACTATGCATATTTCCAGGAATTTGTAAACGCTATTTTATTTATGAGTTAAAATGACTAGAAATGAAATTTTACAAAAGTCAACAATTTTCTGTGAAAAAGAGCTTCAAATTTCGAATTTACAGAAGCGCTTCAGTGCCGCTTTCTAAAAATTTATCTAAAATTTTTCAAAGGAAATTGCCATTTAGGATGAGGTTTTACTGTTATTTGATATTTTTAAAATAATATTTCCGTTCTATTGATAGGAAACCGAAAAATTAATGTTGGGAAAAAAATGTACTTTGGGCGGTTGATAGGTAGCTGACAAGAGTATGCGGCAAGTCCGAGTATAAAGATACCCCGATACCAAAGAAGTAGAAAACTAATACGGGAGTGTCTGTGTTTTTCTGTAACACCTCCAGTTACTTTTGTACAGATAATTTTAAATGACTTGTTTTACATGACAAACTCCATTTCGATGTAATATTTTATTTTTCCAATAATTTTACACATAATATTTTAGACATCCCTCTCCCGTTTTTATATTTACATTCCAAGCAATTTGTGTTCAAAATTGTGTTTGTGCGTTTAAGTTCATGAAATGTTTTTCAATGAAGTTTATCGAAAACTCAATTTTTTCTATGAAAATAAGCTCAAAATTGCGCATTTTCAAAACCTTCAAACGATATTTTCTTAAAAAGCATTCAAAATTGTAAGACCATGACTTTATCTTCTGTGATATTCTTGAAGTTGCATTTCAGTGTCGACTTTAGAGATTCGAAAAATTAAGAAAATGTGAAAAAATATTCTTTATGTATCAAAAGATGGCAGCTGAGAATAGAGTAGGGTAAACCACAAAAACACCGGTCCGGTCTAAAGAGAATAGAAAACAAACTAGTACGAGAAAGTCTGTGTCATTCAGTAGCAAAACTAGTTTTCAACTTCTTGTGACAAAAAAGATATAATTTTCTAGCAGATTTGCTTCGAAATTTCGTTACTGTAAAAAGCAACCATCAACGCACCTAACTCTTTACCTACAGACAAAAGAATTCACAAAGGGAACCTGATACAGAACATCTTCAAACTACAAAACTATTTTGAAATTTTGTTATTTTAAGGTATCAAAAAATGTATAAACGTCCCCTAAGAGTCGTTAACGAACAACTTAAAAACCTACTTTAAAAACTTTAAAAACTCAGAGGTCTAGTAACCTGAATAATGGCTTCTTTCAGTCATACTTACCATCATTCCCCAACTGTGCACGACGATTATCAGAGCCAGGAAACATTTCAGAAACACGAGCAACCGCTGGAGAGCCATAGTGCTGGTGTAGGTCTCGTTGCTGTAGATTGAAAATAGAGGATCCTATCACTTAAGTAGATGTCACCTCTGCGGTACAATTGACCTCCTTTTTCACATAATGACCGGAAGCGTCATTTATTCCCGGTGCATCGTTTCCCGGTCCCCGAATGCAACCTTTTATTTTCGTATTCAAAGGTTTGTCTACCAATGGGTGTTTTGTCAGTTTTTCCGCAAAGTGAGTTTCAATATAACCATTTTTTTTATTCAAACGTTTAGTTGCATCGAAAAGTTCGTAACAATAAATGCAGTAGTGCTTCATATTTTTTTAAAGTTATTTTCTTCCCTTTCAACATATCATATAATTAAATACTGTGGAAACTCAGTTGGTTTTTGTACCTTTCGACAGACCTACAGTATATATGCTCATAACAGTCCAGCCATTAAACAAACTTATTGTACTTTAGATAAGCTGTGGGAAAAAATACACGCTTTAGATATTTGGCTGTACGGGTGTAATGATTGTAACTGTAATGATTGTAACTGTAATGATTGTAACTGTAATAATTGTAATCATACTTTTTAATATTCTATAGGAGCTTTGATCATGACGCATTCCACTGGGAAGTATCCACTAACATAAATACTTAGGCACGTGGGTTCTTGCGACATGAGGCCACCCGCTAGCAGCCCGCAGCTGAGTAAGCCTTTAAGGTGACGGACGACATGTCCGAAGTAGAGGCATCAGCAAAGAGAGGCGTTTCGACGCCTTGTGGTCACGTCATGTTTGGGGAAGGGAGGCCACGTGCCACCCAAGTGGAAGCGTATGATGAACAAAGCCCTGAGTACTATAAAATACGCCCACGGGCCCCGCCCGGGGGACTCTCTGAGCTACCGTTTACTTGGACGGAGGTCTCCACATCACTTTGATGTAACTTGTTTTCTGTGTAACTTCATTTCTGTGTAAGTAAAGGACTCTTGCTTCGACATTTGCTAAAACATATTCTATCTTTCATTTTCACTTGTGCTGATCCACCATCCTGCAGTCTTCTGAAGGGACTTAGCTCCCAAGGACCCATAAACTTTAAATAATTTGTGATATGCTTTTGCTGCTTTAACTGCGACGCCCTGTCTGCCTATATCATTGTGAGTGCAAGCGGGGCCTAGCAAGCAGCAACTCAAGTATTACACGGGTTCTACGCATAGTTACCAATATTTCAGACGTCAACTACAATATTTCTCTGAGATATCTTCACCTTGGGTTTTTGTTAGTGCAACTGACCGTTCCAATTATTTTCGACACAGTGCATTCGACTTATGTAACCAGTGACTGGAACTGGAACCCTTGGACCTCAAGCTCTAAGAAGCTGCAGAACCAACGGCTCAACATTATGACTAACCCCCGTATCTCCATAAGCGTGAGCCGTTCAGCGACCTGTATATATGCGCAGCTCCAAGTAAGGAGTTATGTCGAGTTTCCTGTCTTCGCCACGTGATTCACGCCCATCGCTCCAGCAAACACTGGCTGCTCGCAGGCGCTCGCATGTGTCGGCGTCAAGGCCTCGTGTGCGTTCCGTGTAGGACCGGGTGGCAAGTGGGCTACGAGGAAAATGGGCTGGGCGCCGGAAATGCCAACGCTCTCACGTCGGCCGCGCTGCTGGCGGCGACGCCACAACTACCGCTAACGCCAGGGGAGCAAAGCCAAAAGACAGCGCGCCTTTAAATTGAGTACGCGATTGAAACTTCGGATCGCCTGAATGGATCGTTTCGGTTGACCTACAATCTTGACTAACATTCGAAAAACTGTCTTGACTATAACGTGATTTCGGACAGAAATTACATTTAATTCTATTTGTATTCAATAAATCTGAGGCTGTAATTGGTTGTTTGTCCTTTTGCTCGTACTTTTATGCGCATTTTTTTTACCACAACAATTCGAAATGTGTGTAGGCAGTGCAGTTCATCCCTTCTGCGATCATTACTAATCGTTGACTTCATTTAACTTTTGTTTCAAACATTTTAAAAATCGTTGAAGAGTCTCACATACTTCGATATAAAATATTTCATATGTCATAGAGTGCGTAAGAAAAGTCTCTCCGGAACAAGCCGAATCAGGGTCTCTTATTAAAAATTGCATTTATGTTGGTAGCACCCAGATCACTGGGAACAACTGATGAGGACATTTTCAGAATCTGTTATGATTCTGGTGAGAACGCAATTTATGTTTTCATTTGTTAGAACCTGCAGATCGTGCTACCAACGTAAATTCTGTTGCCACCTCTCACACCGACACCACTGCGGAGAGAATTTCCTGGCGCACTATGCCACCTCAATCAAGATAAAGCTATTATTGCTCGCTAAATCAGATTTCAACACGCCCAATTTCCAATACGCCCTTCATTGTATATCTTTATGTCAGTGAGATTTTGGTACTTACGTTAAATCTCTTTTTAATCACGCCCTGCATTGACACTGATAAACCATGAAATACGTGGAATTGTTATTTACAAAGTATGAACAAAGACGTGAATATACAACAAATATTGAAAGTAGAGTTCGAAACATTAAAATAACAGTAATTGGGACACCGATATTTCCCTTTTATAGGCAACACAGGTTTAGGATTGTATGTATATCCTTCAGTGATAATGATACTATCAGGCTTGTTGTACATAATATTGTTTAGACGGCGATCAAGATCTGGAATTCTCAACCGGCGAGGAGAAAAAATGAGCACATTTTAGCACGAGTTAGCCTTGTCAGATTTGAAGATGGTGACATTTATATGCTATAATTTTAACACCGCGTTCCAACTTCCGCGTTCCACGCTTTCCAAATTATCATGACTGACATAACTACTCCAGACTCCAAAGATGCCTCATATCGGCTAGTCTCAATTTCAAAGTCGATGCCACCAGCGAGAGACCATGGCACTGGTATCACAACGAAATCACGCTTCTACATAGTTGATCACCTCTACACACGAGAACAGGAGGTAGCCAAAGTCGCCCTGAAAGCTTTTACACTTTACACACGAAATACGAGTAGTAGGGATTTAGATAAATAAAATTAAGAACGTTTATCGGTTTGACATTTATATTTTTACTTGTATTTTTCTGAGCATATTCTCTATTTTACATACGATTCCACCAAGTTGGAAAATAGCGAGGTTAGTACAGAAAGTTTTCTTTCCCGACGCTAGTTGCGCTGAGAAGCTCGTGGCTTGCCATAGTGCCACTGGCACTAGTAGGACACATTGATATCACTGGTCTAGGTGCTATTCCTAGTGCGGTATTCACTTGCAGCCGAAACCCTCTCTGGAGACACACGTTCAAGGTCAAGTGCAGCGAAAATATCTTTCTAATTCATCTCAAAAAGAAAGAAGGATTTATGAGGTTTGAAAACGATGACATTTATGTGCTGTATTTTCTAACACCGAGTTCCAACTACAAATTATTATGACTGAAATTGAGACTAGCCGATGCGAGGCATCTGTGGTGTAAGGACTACCGCTTAACTCCCAGTGCGCTTTCCACTTTCAGTCCAATCTCTCTCTGGAGACACACGTGGGTTGAAGGTCAGAGGCAGCGACAGCGACAGAACTCGGGTTCGCTCCCAAACCGCAGGCCGCATTAGACGGGGCACCCACCCGCGTCAACAGAGGCCTTCGTTTACAGCCCACACGCGAAGCTGCCTTCCGAGCCCCGCCCCACTCTGCTCCGCCCCGTTCTGCCCCGCCCCGTTC